ATGTAAATTTGGATCAAAAAAAAAAATTAAAAAGATACTGCACTTTTTTTTTCGAGGCGAGAAGTCCCTGATTGCCTTTTGTTTCTTTTCTTGGTTTTCCCGTCAACCCTCAGCAAACAACCCAGCTTATACAAGAACCCTCACCCCCTCGGTCCTTCAGGGCCGTTCCCCCCATATCCCCAAACACGTACGCATAAACTACTCTTAAAATTTAAAGCGAGCCAGTGCTGTTTTCTGGATTTTTTTGGGATAGCTCCTCCCCATAAAGTCATCAAACGTCCCTTTCCCCCCTTCCATGGAAATGATGCGGAGCTACATACCCTTGTATTTTTTTTCAACAAAGTAGTTCCCCCTATAAAAATGGCCTATCCAACCCCACTCGCCCATTTTATATTTCCCCCCTATTATCCATCACACATCTTTGATAGGCCAATTTTGTGAGAGAAGTTTGGAGGGGGAGGCTAAAGAGTTTAAATAAGGGGGAAGGAAAAAGGGAAAAAGGGGGGGGGAAAAAAGGAGAGAAAGGAAGAGGGGGGAGGGGAGAGAGGAGAGGAGAAGAAGGGAGGGGGAGAGAGAAGGAAAAAAAAGCGGGAGGGGAAAAGAAAAAAAGTAGGAGAGAAAAGGAAAAAAGACGGGGGATTGGAAGAGGAGAGGGAGGAGAGAGAGAGGAGGGGAGAAAAGAGAGAGAGAGGGAGGAGGAGAAGAGAGAGAGGGGAAGAGAGGGGGTTGGAGAGGGAGAGGAGGGAGGAAAAGGGGAGAGAGAGAAAAGAGAGAGGAGAGAGAGGGAGGACAGGTGGAGGAGAGGAGAGAGAGAGAGGGGAGAGAGAGAGAGAGGAGAGGAGAAAGAAAGAGGGAGAGAGAGAGAGGAGGGGGAAAAGGAAAATGCAGGGACGCAGCTCCAGAGGAGAAAAAAGAGGGGACTTAATCTTGGGAGACACTGTTATTCTGCCGTTTTAGAATTCTGTCAAGGCTGCTCGGAGTCAGACGGACTCCCCCCATCCACCCAGGCAGCTAGCGCAGAAAGCGAAAAACCTGTCTCCTGTTAAGCATGGACAGACACATCAGAGCCATGTGCTCCTCCAAGCGCTGCCTTTAATCTGATTTGATTTCATTCTCATTTAGAGAGAACAAAAAGGTGCAGGGACAGAGGTGCAGGGACGATGAGAGAAGAGTATAATATGTAGTACATCACTGATCTGTCTCGTGGGTGTGTGTGTGTGTGTGTTTGATTCTGTCGGGTGTGTTTATGGTGTGTACACTTGCATCTCACAAATGAATGTAATTCATAATGCATTTCTAGGAGCACACAGGAACGCACACACACACATTTGCACCCACCCATGTGCGTGCGTGCGTGCGCACACACACACACAGACACACTCACACACACACACACACAACACACACACACACAGACACATGCAGCCCCATCAATACCTACACATTTTGTATAGACTGAAGCCCCTATAAATCTATCTTATCTGGCCACACTGGCCTTATTTACCCATGGCCCTTTTCAGGAGCCCCATAACATTCTCCGTGGGAGTATCAAATCAAATCTGAATTCCGCCTGAAGGAAAAGCACACCTGCACAATTGGTGTCCTCCCAGTGGCAACAGAGCAGAGCTGAAGATGAATGAGTAGAAGTAGAGGCTTGGCTTAGCTTGGCTTTCTCAGAATACTGTAGGAGTGTAGGGAGTTTTGAAGGAAAGAGAGAGAGAAAGAGGGTTGCAGGAGAGAGAAGGTTGTTTCTCCCTCTTTCAACAATTTATCAAATGACAGTCTTTCTTGTATTGTGTAATAGCAGCTTACAAAACTAGGATAGCATAACATATACAGTACCAGTCAAAAGTTTGGACACACCTACTCATTCCAGGGTTTTTCTTTATTTTTACTATTTTCTACATTGTAGAATAATAGTGAAGACATCACAACTATGAAATAACACATATGTAGTCATGTAGTAACCAAAAAAGTGTTAAACAAATTATTTTATATTTGAGATTCTTCTAAGTAGCCACCATTTGCCTTGATGACAGCTTTGCACAATTGGCATTCTTTCAACCAGCTTCATGAGGTAGTCACCTGGAATGCATTTCAATTAACAGGTGTGCCTTCTTAAAAGTTCATTTGTGGAATTTCTTTCCTTCTTAATGCGTTTGAGACCATCAGTTGTGTTGTGACAAGGTAGGGGTGGTATACAGAAGATAGCCCTATTTGGTAAAAGACCAAGTCCATATTATGGCAAGATCAGCTCAAATAAGCAAAAAGAAACGACAGTCCATCATTACTTTCAGACATGAAGGTCAGTCAATCCGGAAAATTTCAAGAACTGAAAGTTTCTTCAAGTGCAGTCGCAAAAACCATCAAGCGCTATGATGAAACTGGCTCTCATGAGGACCGCCACAGGAAAGGAAGACCCAGAGTTACCTCTGCTGCAGAGGATACGTTCATTAGAGTTACCAGCCTCAGATTGCAGCCCAAATAAATGCTTCACAGAGTTCAAGTAACAGACACATGTCAACATCAACTGTTCAGAGGAGACTGCGTGAATCAGGCCTTCATGGTCTAATTGCTGCAAAGAAACCACTACTAAAGGACACCAATAATAAAGAAGAGACTTGCTTGGGCCAAGAAACACGAGCAATGGACATTAGACTGGTGGAAATCTGTCCTTTGGTCTGATGAGTCCAAATGTGAGATTTTTGGTTCCAACCGCCGTGTCTTTGTGAGACACAGAGTAGGTGAATGGATGATCTCCGCATATATGGTTCCCACCGTAAAGCATGGAGGAGGAGGTGTGATGGTGTTGGGGCTCTTTGCTGGTGACACTGTCTCTGATTTATTTAGAATTCAAGGCACACTTAACCAGCATGGCTACCACAGCATTCTGCAGCGATACACCATCCCATCTGGTTTGCGCTTAGTGGGACTATCAATTGTTTTTCAACAGGACAATGACCCAAAACACACCTCCAGGCTGTGTAAGGGCTATTTGACCAAGAAGGAGAGTGATGGAGTGCTGCATCAGATGACCTGGCCTCCACAATCACCCGACTTCAACCCAATTGAGATGGTTTGGGATTAGTTGGACTGCAGAGTGAACGAAAAGCAGCCAACAAGTGCTCAGCATATGTGGGAACTCCTTCAAGACTGTTGGAAAAGCATTCCTCACGAAGCTGGTTTAGAGAATGCCAAGAGTTGCAAAGCTGTCATCAAGGCGAAGGGTGGCTACTTTGAAGAATCTCAAATATGAAATATATTTTGATTTATTTAACACTTTTCTGTTTACTACTTGATTCCATATGTGTTATTTCATAGTTTTGATATCGTCACTATTATTCTACAATGAAAATAGTAAAGATAAAGAAAAACCCTTGAATGAGTAAGTGTGTCCAAACTTTTGACTGGTACTGTATATATATATTATTTTTTTTTACTGGAAAAGAACTCAAATGTTGTCTATTACTAAAATACATAAATATGTTAACTGTACATGTGTGCCAATGTTTTAACTAATCTGTTTGGATAATGGTCAAGGGTCTCTACTGAGATAATGATGGCAATCCACAGTCCTGAGTAGACTATTACACCATATATTGTGTACTGGGACTTTAAAACAGTCATATGGATATATGGTCTCACACTAAAACCATTACTCATGGTTACATCTTCTGCTACCCTTATTCATTTCATAAAACATGCCATTTCTCATCCTCTATGAGCTGTTCATAGAGTCATTTCATAAGTCATGGAATATCTTAGATCTCGAGCAGAGAAGAGAGAGAACGAGAAGAAAGAGAGAGAGGACAAGAGAGCGAGTAGGAAAGAGAGAGGAGATAGAGAGCGAGAGAGAGAGGAGGGAGATAGAGCAGAGAAAAGAGCTGTAGAGCGAGAGCGAGGAGAGGAGAGAGCTCTCTCTCTTCTCTCGCTTCTAGCGTCTCTCTATCTCTCTCCCTCTCTCTTCTCTCGCTCTTCTCATCTCTCTCCTCTCTCTCTCTCTCTCGCTCTCCTCTCTCTTCTCTCTCTCTCCTTCTTTCTCTCTCTCTCTGCACTACAGATAAACTAATTTCCACTAAGATGATTTTCTAAGCTATGTTGGGGAAAGACCATTACTCTCAGGGTGAATGGTGAAAACAGTGAATGGAGAAGTGTTTATTTTAAACGATGAACAGAAACTTAAGTGGTATATGTCAAAGGAGCTGGTGTTATACTGCAAAAGACACACTATAACAACACCACCAAAACGTCCCCTTCAAGGTGGTGTCAGGCTTGGGTGAACAAAAGAGCAGTGGAGCCTCCCCAGAGGAGGAAGGGGAGGACCACCCTCCTCAGTGAATGTCATTAAAAATAAAAACAGTGAAACATTAAAAAAGTATTCATTTTTAGACAAAACTATACTAAATATATTCACGTCACCAAATAATTGATTAAAACTCTACAGTAGCCTCAACAGCACTCTGTAGGGTAGCACCATGGTGTAGCCAGAGGACAGCTAGCTTCCGTCCTCCTCTGGGTACATTGACTTCAATACAAAACCTAGGAGGCTCGTGGTTCTCACCCCAATCCATAGACTTACACAGTAATTATGACAACTTCCTCCAACCTATCAGAGCTCTTGCAGCATGAATTGACATGTTGTCCACCCAATCAAAGGATCGGAGAATTCATCTAGTACTGAAAGCATAAGCTAAAGCTAGCTAGCACTGCATTGCATTAAATGTGGTGAGTAGTTGACTCAAAGAGAGAGAAAGACAATAGTTGAACAGACCTGCATTATAGCAGACACAATTGAACTTGATTTCAGTGCACTCAGAATCGCAATGTTCTGTCTGTAAAAATTTATTTATATAGCGTGTCTGTAAAGGAAACAGAAAGTTACATTAAACACATCACCAATCAAGTCAGGTTGAGATATTACAGGTTTAGTAATGCCATCATGTTTGTGTCAAGAAAAACAATAGTAAATAGCATAATGTACAGATTTGATATTCATACTATCATATCAATGCAAGCCAACTGGGCAGTCTGAGAGAGGAGAGAAGATTGGGCCCGATCATGTACGTCTTGCGTTGCTTGTAGTGCTCTGAGATGTAGATCTTCTCAATGTGATTGTTGTTCTGGTTGTACTTCACCAGCACCCTGTCCTGGTTGCTGAGGAGATTGTCCTTGTCGTAGTACTGCCTCACTTCATAGGGCAGGTTCTCTGCACCGTGGGAATGGAGGTTACCGATGGTGTAGTAGGTGTACAGGTTCTGGTCTTTCAGTTTGGGGAGTAACAGTTTATAGTTCTTGAACATATGGAACCCGTATTCTCCCTCCCTTGGGTCACAGAGGGACACCATGTTGTTGTCGATGCAGGTCTGGACGTACCAGAGGAGTAATTTGAGGCCATGGCGAGGGGGCGGGGTCCCGAAGTTGGTCTTCTCTAGCTCTTCGGTCGTGTCCAATGTTCTCAAAGCCGAGGCCAGAGCGATGGCCAATAGCATCAGCAGGATGCATCTCAGGACGCTGGTGTGATTTGCCATGCTGAACACCAATTAAGGGTTATCTATGAAAAGTGATTACATGTAAAATATTATAAATTCTTCCTAAACATAGCGACAAAATTAGCTTATCATATATAAAATGGATAACATTTGATTATCGACAAAACTGTAGATATTTCCCAAAAAATCTCCATCTGTTTTGATCTGGCACTAAAATGTATCAATTGCTCTAGTTCACTAGAATCTCCTTACCCTGCAATGTCTATAGGATGAGTCTGTAGGTTTAGCTTGCAGGTCTCTGCTCAAAGGCTGTGGTATAAGGCTGTGTTGGTTGCAGTGTAGCACCTGACCCTTACTGTAGCAGAGTAAGACCGGGTTCTGTCATGAGTGTTTGAGGGAGGGCCCATGTATACAGCGCATGTATCTGCTTACTGTATGAGAAGCAGACCTGGGTTCAAATACTATATGAAATCTTTCAGATAGTATGAGAGTTTGCTTCAGCCTGCCTGGATTGCTGGATGAGCAGGGTTTGCACTTTTGCGACTACTCTATTGGTTCCATTGCGCCAGGCAAGCTCAATCAAGCACATCTAAAGTATTTTAAATGATGTCTAATAGCATTTGAACCCAGGTCTAATAAGAAGAGTTGAAAATGAAGAAATGAAAAACGAAGGTGAGAAAACAGCTGTGGTTTGTAGATCAAGGTCAGATCTTGTGACAGCTGTCTATATCAGCATATACTGTATGTTTCTCACAGGATGCTGTGCCAATAGTTACAGAACTTCCTCTTTCACTTCCACTGATAAACATTCTCTATTTGAAATAACTCAATAGGTTAACGCAGAGAGAGAGAAGAGTACATGCATAGTAGACTAGTGTGTATAATACTGTAGGCCTATGACTGTGTCCATAACAGTTATTTAAATAGATGAAATGAGTAAAAAGCCGTTCTGTGGATTACAGGTTTTCATGAGTGACATTTCATTCTGTTACTGTATAATCACTCCCATTCTCCAGGTGCCATACTGCATTTTGTCTAACACCTTCAAAGGCCTGGAGGAATTATAAACTACTGGCAAAGTACCATTCTACGGGATTAGAATTTACTTCATGAATATCACGTTTTATAGAGCTGCATGTTTGTATTTGTGCTTGTTTGCCTTGATAATAGGCCCCATAATTTGCATTTTATTTATTAATAAATAAACAAATGTGTTACTGTGGATAACAGTGAGACTGCATAACACATAACAACCTGGCTGCGAGTAGCATTCTTTCCCCTGGGGACAGAGAACATGACTGGGGTTGGTGAGTGAGCCTGTCTGTCTTTAAGCACCCACTGCACGCTGACCTGCATTGCCTTGTGTACTGGAGGCTACATACCGTCGCTTTGCAGACATTTGTATTACTATCTTGTTTACTTTATGAATAAAATATATTGTGTTTGTCTCTATTATCACATTTTGACACAGAGCTGAATGAATGTCCCACAGGGATGAAGGGAGAGTGTGAAGAAGGGAGAGAGAGAGGGGAGAGAGGGGAGAGAGGGGAGAAAGGGGAGAGAGGGGAGAGAGAGAGATGTTCAATATAGTAAACACTTGGAGCCCCTGAAAATGTGGCACAGCATGCTCTCCTCTGTCCGCTTATTCTGCCTTGCTCTGCCATATCAAAGCTTTCCCAACTTCATTATCAATAAATTATACTTTTAAATGATCCCAGCGGTACAAACAAGTGCTACTCTTAGAGAGAGGGTAGAGAGAGGGAGAGGGAGAAGGAGAGAGATAAATAGAGAGAGAGAGGGAGAGAGAGAGAGGTAGAGAGAGAGCGAGGGAGAATGAGGAGGAGAGAGATAAATAGAGAGAGAGAGGGAGAGAGAGAGCGAGGGAGGACAGAGGGAGGCAAGGCATTAGGCATTTCATTTGCAAAGATTTAACAGCAAATTGTGTTTCTTTTTGCTGCATTTATTTATTTATTTCTTTAACCATGTCACCCTTCAGCTTGTGAAGGGGCCCGCACAGCTAATCTCCACGGCAACAGGCTACGCTGCTGCTCAATGCTCTGCAGTGCTTAGAGCTGTCTTTGATTCAAATGGAATGTGTTCACGTGACTCCAGGCAGGGCCTACCTCTCTCCACTAGGTTACATATCACTACACTGGATCAGCTGCGGTTCTCTGAAGGAGACAGCCAGGCAGGCTACAATAAGGAGATGTTCTGCTGTATTAACATGGTAAAACAGAGCTCTAAATGTTAGCTTAAAATAACATAGTTACATGGTGTACTTTGTGATGATGTTATGTAACACGTTTGGTGCTGCTGTGTGAATGAATGTCAGGGCTTAGGATGCTATAGTAGGCTAGGCCCTCTCTACCAGTGTTTAATCTCCTTTGACACAAACATGAAAGGGAACCAACGACTGATGTCTTTGCTGTGTGTATGGATGAGTTTTGATCTCTCTCTCTCTACTGTATCTCTTCCTTTTTTTCCCTTCCCTATCCTATTTCTCATATAGCCTCTGAAATATATTATCCCCCCCATTCTTCCATAGTTGAGGACACAGCAGATTATCAATAAATGGATGGCTAAAATGGATGGGTAGAGTGAGTGCATACAAACCAGTGGAGATTGAAATATTCCACTTATGCAACCCTGGTGCAATTCATGCAAAGTTTATTGATTGAAACATCATGTACTGTACATGATTCTCTGTAAGGGTTGGGGTGAGGTGTGACCCAGGTGCGGTGCAGGATATACAGTAGGCAGTAGGCAGAGATGGTGAAACAAGGATCTTTACTGGTGGTCCCGATGCCAAAAACGATGACAGAAAAGCTCTTGAACTGGAGCATTAAAACACATCTATTGAGTAATGTTGATGTGCCTGAATCGAAAACTTTCTATAGAAAATATGATAATGGAAAGCCTTGGTTTTTAATGTAAATACATGTATGCAGGAATGTAAAAAGCATCATCAATGTGAATCAGCCTCACCCTGTCAAATGATGGGTAAAGGCTGGGATTGTTTTTAATGTTTTTATTATAATTTACTCTCTCTACCTTCGTTCATGATAAATTATATAATCGCTTCATTGACCAATTGCTATTCCATTTTCCATTAAGTATTATAATTCATGGAAATGGGACGAGAGACTGAAAAATGTGTGTGTGTGTGTGTGTGTGTGTGTGCATGTGTTTATGTGAGTGTGAGAGTGAGAGTGAGTGTGTATATGTTGTCAAAGGAGGAATCATAATGGCATTTTTGGTGTGTGAAACATTGGTTTTGTGATTGGGTGTTGCTTCTACACAACCCATTCACCCTGAGGCCCATGTTTCACTCAAGATACCTGACTATGTGACCAGAAAGCATAAGGTGAATAAATGTAGGTGATTCTGAAACCCTTTCTTCCATAACCTTTTTAGTGAACATCAATTGATTGTCCAAATCACCAAATATTTGAATGTTGGAGAGAGAGAGAGAGTGTGAGAGAGAATGCAAATAGTCCGGGTAGCCATGATTAGCTGTTCAGGAGTCTTATGGCTTGGGGGTAGAAGCTGTTAAGAAGCCTTTTGGACCTAGACTTGGCGCTCCGGTACCGCATGCTGTGCGGTAGCAGAGAGAACAGTCTATGACTAGGGTGGCTGGAGTCTTTGACCATTTTTAGGGCCTTCCTCTGACACCACCTGCTATACAGGTCCTGGATGGCAGGAAGCTTGGCCCCAGTGGTGTACTGGGCCGTACGCACTACCCTCTGTAGTGCCTTACGGTCGGAGGCCGAGCAGTTGCCATACCAGGCGATGATGCAACCAGTCAGGATGCTCTCGATGGTGCAGCTGTATAACTGTTTAAGGATCGGAGGACCCATGCCAAATATTTTCAGTCTCCTGAGGGGGAATAGGTTTTGCTGTGTCCTCTCCATGACTGTCTTGGTGTGTTTGGACCATGATAGTTTGTTGGTGATGTGGACACCAAGGAACTTGAAGCTCTCAACCTGTTTCACTACAGCCCCCGTCGATGAGAATGGGGGCGTGCTCAGTCCTCTTTTTTTCCCCTGTAGTCCACAATCATCTCCTTTGTCTTGATCACGTTGAGGGAGAGGTTGTTATCCTGGCACCACACGGCCAGGTCTCTGACCTCCTCCCTATAGGCTGTCTCATTGTTGTCGGTGATCAGGCCTACCACTGTTGTGTCGTCGACAAACTTAATGATAGTGTTGGAGTCGTACCTGGCCATGCAGTCATGTGTGAACAGGGAGTACAGGAGGGAACTGAGCACTTACCCCTGAGGGGCCCCCGTGTTGAGGATCAGCGTGGCAGATGTGTTGTTACCTACCCTTACCACCTGGGGGCGGCCCGTCAGGAAGTCCAGGATCCAGTTGCAGAGGGAAGTGTTTAGTCCCAGGGTCCTTAGCTTAGTGATGAGCTTTGAGGACACTATGGTGTTGAACACTGAGCTGCAGTCAATGAATAGCATTCTCACGTAGGCGTTCCTCTTGTCCAGGTGGCAAAGGGCAGTGTGGAGTGCAATAGAGATTGCATCATCTGTGGATCTGTTGGGGTGGTATGCAAATTGGAGTGGGTCTAGGGTTTCTGGGATAATGGTGTTGATGTGAGCTTTGTACGCATCTCTGTGTGTGGAGTAAAGGTGGTCTAGAGTTTTTTTTCCTCATTTAACATGCTGGTAGAAATTAAGTAGAACAGATTTAAGTTTCCCTGCATTAAAGTCCCTGGCCACTAGGAGCGCTGTCTCTGGATTTCCTGTTTGCTTATGGCCTTATACAGCTCATTGAGTGCAATGATAAAATATAGATGAAAACTTGCTTGGTAAATAGTGTGGTCTACAGCTTATCATGAGATAAAACTTATCATGAGCAAAAACCTCAAGACTTCCTTCGTATTGGATTTTATGCACCATCAGTTGTTTACAAATATACACAGACCGCCACCCCTTGTCTTACCGGAGTCAGCCGTTCTATCCTGCTGATGTAGCGTATATACTGCCAGCTGTATATTATCCATGTAGTCGTTCAGCCACGACTCGGTGAAAC